CTCTACTTCTCTCTACTTCATCGTGTTGGGGTCAGGACACGTCCATGAAGCATCCGGAGAGCACTACCTGACTTGAGAGTTTTTGCTCTTTCTAGGTCAACTCCTCTTCACCGTGTTGAGATCAGGACACGTCCATGAAGCATCCGAAGCACACCGTCTATCCAATAGAGCTGATTCATGGATCATATCATGATTTAATTAGGGCCCACAACCTTTTGTTCGGCATTCCGAGGATTCATCTATCATGGCTCACTCTGGGGCATGACTCTGATACCACTTATAAGGATTACGGACACCACCTATCTCCACATTGGTATGATATTGTCCACTTTGAGATTAAACCCTTATGGATTTGCTCTTAGGTTATACCCAAAAGGCCTCATATCAATGAAGATATTTGTTCATCCTTATATACCCTTAATCCTCTCCATTTCTAACCAATATGGGACTTTAGTCGCATACCCAACAGAATCAGCCATCACCAACTCTTCGTTTTCTCTATAAAACTTGGGGAAACTCCAATTCCGCAAATTTTTGGCATATGGCCGCAAAGAAAACCCTCTGCGGCCGAATCCAAAGCCAATCTCACATTCTCGACTTTGGAAATTGTGGCTTTGTCCCATCGAGCTGATCTTGGACCACCCAAGTTGAGAACATCAGGCCTTGGCTGCAAGATCGGAAATCTCTCCCGGGCCCAAAGTTGCACCAGCTGAGACGGCGAGAAACGTTCTAGTCTAGATTCAACATTACCCGCAACAATTGCCCTTTTCAGTTGACTCAAATCCCTGAAAATACTAGCGAGAACTGCTGGTGCAAGAGCTATTGGATTCCCTCTTGCTAGGCGGATTGCTATAGGGAAAACCTCTTTCCTAATTACGTGAGATGAATTTTGAAACACTAATCTTGATAACCACAAAGCAAGAAATGCTTCATGTTCGATTTCACTCCCACCGTTATTGAACATCTTCATCCATGAAAGCCGGCATGCTTTCCTAGCTCTACTTCTTACCACTTCCTTTCTAGCATCCATCAACTTCTCTTCAATTACCTTCCATTCTCTGTTTTCAACAGAGCATGAAACAGGGGATCCCAAAACAGAGTAACCCCCTAAAACAATCACATCCTCTAAAGTAATAATAGCTTCTCCCCATGGAAAAAAAAAACGTATTGGTGTCAGTACACCATTTCTCTGATAAACCAATAATTAACTCAAAACATTTTTTTAATATGATAAGTAGAACTCAATATTGCTTGATCAATACCGGATTTCTTCCAAGCAGCTTGGTACTTAGATTGCATGCGAGATACCCATGTGATCCAATTTTCTTGGGGGCGTGTCCAAGATATGGACGAGACCTTCAGTGGAAAGTTATTGCGTTGCGATGTTTCTGGTGGTAGTGGAGAGATAGAGTCTGAAGGAAGGTCAGGTTCCTCCATGGAGGTTGCGGTAGGTTTCAAGAAATAGGCTGTTCTTAAAGCTGGTTTGGTATATCACCAAAAGGTGAAACCATGACATCTTTCCTTTCTTCCAAGATTGTGTTACTTGAGGATGGTTCAGCCATTTTTAGTACTTGATTCGAAATTTTTTTGAGTTGGGTTCTAATGAGAGAGGAGGGTTTTTGACATTTGCTGTGGTGAAGACGGAAGAGAGGAGAGAAATGTAATTCCCCTGTTTGTGGGCTTATAGAGACCATGAGAGGTTGTCGTTGCCAGAGATGAACAGAGGGCGAAGGAAGTTCTTTCTTGGTTTGTAGCGCTTTTTCCAAAAAGCTGACACAATTTAAAATAAAAAGAGGAGAGAGGGAACGTAATAAAAGGAAAATAAATAAAAAAATTCAAAATTAAAAAAAAAAAAGAAAAAGAAAAAGAAATAGGAGCATGTATCCATAAAGATAATCAAGGTTTTAAAGGTTTTTTTATATAAAAAAACCCCCTTCCTAACATGCATAGAATAATTACTATCTACCTTTTCTGAATTAAATGTACAAATTAGTCCATCTAATTTTTCAAAATAAATTAAATAGTTTCTCTAATTCCAAAAATAAATTAATTAATCTTTTACTAGTGTTTACCAAGTTTAAATAATATTTCTTTGTTTCTAAAAATATATTCTTTTCTCATCAATCTTTCCATATTATTTTTTTCCTTTGACAAGAAAAATTAGAAAAAGGATTAAATTATAAATAGGTTTAAGAAAATAAGGACTAATTAATTAATTTATAAAACTAAAGAAATTGTTTATTTCAGTTTACAAGGTGAGTATATAATAAAGAGAGAAAAGTGAGAAAAACTAACAGGGAAGGCTGTACTGCTCATGGTAGCCCCCCCCCCCCCCCCACACACACACATATATGTATAATATCTCCTTAAAAAATTTATTTTGATTTGATGTACTATTTAAAAAACATATTTTATTTTATAAAATTATTCAAATATATATTTCAAGATCAAATTCATGATTGATATTATTTGTAAAATTTAAGAAAAAAAATAAAATTATATGATAAAATTAAAAAAATTGTATTAGATAATTTTTAAATATTATTAATATAGCTAATCTGACTTAACTCGCCAATATAGTAATCCATTGATTTTCTAGAATTTAAACTTTATTAAATTTCGTGTAGATCCGGATAAAAGTTTACTTAATCGATTAAATAATTCAATTTATGAACCGATCAATTTAATCAAAATTTAGATGAGAGCAGGTTTAATTTTTAAAAAAATATTAAAATAACATTCTTCAATATTTTTTTTAAAATACTGAACTATGCTATTCAGTATACAGTTTTATAATTATGCTTCTAAACAGTAAACGGCAATCATCATGTTTTTAACTTCTAAATAGTTTCAATGTATCTCACAAGTAAATTCTACTCCAAATGCTGTCTCCATTTCTTGTTATTTCAAAAAGGAATATATATATATATCTTGGTGAGTTTGTAAGACTTGGAGAAAAAATAGCTCACAATCCCTTTTAGTACTCCTAACCTTGGAGGAAATTTGTCGAGCAAATAGAAGTTCGGTGCCAGAAAAAAGCATGTCAAACAGCCCGTTTTGCAAATGAGGCAGTAGCCATGCAAAAGACATGGCAACTGTTGCTATAATTAGCAGAATTTTGACCTAGTCTTTCCCTTTTCCTAGCTCCATGGATTTTGAGATAGATGATGAACTAAAAACAAGCATGGTGGCAAAAACTTTCTTCTGTTTTTCTGACAAGACCAGACGTATTGTTTTCTTGTGCACCTAGGCTAAGCTTTTGAGATTGGTGCTATCTTTCTAAGAATTCCATTCACATTTTTATGCTGGTTGAAGAATTACAAGGGAGGGATGATGGGCTGCTTTAAATGTTGCTTGTCGGAGGAAAGAATAAGCAGAAAGTCACTGAAAAAAAGCATTAAGGAATACAATGATGCCAGAACTTTAGCCTCATTTGCCAACATCTCATTTAAGACAGGTAAACTGTTCTGTTCTCATGAGCAATCATTAAATTTCACGAAGCCAAGTATTGTCAATCATAATTTTGAAAGGTTGTAATTTGTCTGTCTCACAGCCTAGATCTGTTTGCTGTCAATCCATACATCTCATATCTGAAGAGCAATTGTGTCCCCTTTGGATGGTATTTTTATGTGCTTGTGCTCCTGATATAATCTATCCATGTTGTAAGAGTTCCGTTTTTTTTTTTTCTCAGGGAACGAAATTACGAACTGAATATGGCAAGCCAAGTTTCATGTTAATGTTGTTTTTCCTTGCCACCTTTCTGTGTTCTCATATTGTGGATTCATCAATGTTTCCATGATATGTTGCAATTGTCCTCTTCATTTCATCAGATTGTAATTGTCATTTCTTGAAGACATTCAAGGATGTCATAATTAATATTTTGGCATCAGCAAATCAGAAGATGTTGTTCAACTCTCCAAATTATAATTCAGAAGCCCATTTGGAACTGGATAATAGTGTCTAATTCAAACTGAACGTAATTTCTCCACAGATAGCAGCAGAAAAAGGTACATTGCTGAAGAAATCAGGCAAATCGGGAAGGGAAATATATCTGCTGATATTTTCACATTCCGCGATCTAAATACGGCAACAAAGAACTTCAACCATGAAAATCTGATCGGCGAGGGTGGTTTCGGAAGGGTGTACAAAGGGATTATACAGAAAACAAACCAAGTACCACTACTCTTGCAGTATTATTTTAGCGTTCTTTCATTGTTTTTACTTTGCAAGAGACTGAGAATGAGTTAAAAGTTCTCGTGTTATTGCTGTTTCAATTAGGTTGTTGCTGTTAAGCAACTAGACAGAAATGGATTTCAGGGAAACAGAGAATTTCTTGTAGAAGTTTTAATGCTGAGTCTGCTTCACCACCCTAACCTTGTCAGCTTGGTTGGATACTGTGCCGATGGTGACCAGAGGATTTTAGTGTATGAGTACATGATTAATGGCTCCCTTGAGGATCACCTTCTTGGTATGCATGAAGTAACTTCATTTGGATATTCTGCACTTTTGCATACAAGATAGATTTCATTGCATAAATGGTTGCAGGTTAAAGCAGATTCGATTCCTGTGGTGAAGCATTTCTGTCATTGTTAGAGAATACGTTCCTGTTTCTTGCTAGTTTTTTACTCTAATCAGCTGGATTTCTCTTTCAGAGCTGGCACCAGATAAAAAGCCATTGGATTGGAATACAAGGATGAAAATAGCTGAAGGGGCTGCAAGAGGGCTTGAATACTTGCATGAATCAGCAAATCCTCCAGTAATATACCGTGACTTCAAAGCATCAAACGTATTATTAGATGAGAATTTCAACCCTAAGCTCTCAGATTTCGGGCTGGCAAAGCTCGGACCGACCGGGGACAAGACACATGTATCCACCAGGGTGATGGGGACTTATGGCTATTGTGCTCCTGAATATGCTTTGACAGGACAACTGACAGCGAAATCCGATGTCTACAGCTTTGGAGTCGTGTTTTTGGAGCTAATCACCGGAAGACGAGTCATCGACAATTCAAGACCAAGTGAAGAGCAGAATCTAGTTTCTTGGGTACGTGTGTAGAATTCTTTTGATTCTCCGTTAAATTCTTCCTCTGATGAAATTTTGTCGTCACGACACCAGATCATGTATTGGCATTACTTTCCATCCTAGTTTTTTTTCTGATCCTGAACTGTTCTATGTGATTTTCCAATACTCAATGACTAAAACATTTGACTGCTAGAACCTAGCAACCAAGGCCTTACCTTGACTTTGCATTTCTCTGTGCAGGCAACGCCATTATTCAAGGACAGAAGAAAGTTTACACTAATGGCAGACCCTTTGCTACAAGGCAACTACCCTTTAAAAGGTCTGTATCAAGCTCTTGCAGTTGCAGCTATGTGTCTCCAAGAGGAAGCTTCTACTAGGCCATTAATGAGTGATGTTGTAACAGCTCTAGAATTTTTAGCAGTACATAATGATGCTGCTGAAGAGAGGGCAGTAGATGATGATGATATCAAGAAACCTTGTCCTGATAGTGATAGTGATTAAGATCCAATTGTGATTCATAGACCAGCTAATTGACGAACAGGGATGTAAAATCTGAAGTGATGCTAATGCATCTTGTAAATTGTTTTTCGTAAACTTTATCATTTCATGTCGAGGACTTCTGAATTTTTGCTATCAATCATCCCTCAGATACCATTTTCCATTTAGATTTATTTCTTCTACCACTTAGTTTTTGAAGGTATTGAGTTGAAGTGGATTGACTAAATATTGAAAAATTACACGCTCACACACATATTAGGATCATATTCTCCTCACCTCAAATTTAGAAAAGAATGAACTTCTTGTTATTGATTTTGTTGGTGTGATAATTTTATTAAAAAATTATCTTAATTTAAAAATATAAGCTAATAACATAAATATTTTAAAAATAATTTTTATATTATTTTTTAATATTTCCCATCAAATGAAAGCTCAATAAATTTAAAATTTATATAAATACAGACTATCTTAAAATGAAAGTAGTAAAATTTAAACTTGTAATTATTTGATCATTAAAATTTTAATACCATATCAAATAATAAATTTAATTAAATAACTTAAATCATTAGATAAAATTTTTAAATCATTAGATAAAATTTTAAGATATGATTTATATTATTTTATAATACATATTTAGTTTAAATAAATATAAAATACATGTTATAAGATTAAAGAGAAGTTCAATATTAAGTAATGTAACAAAGATATGTAAATATATCTAGCACAAACATCATAAAATAACAAAATAAATTTATAGGTTTAAAGATAAAAACTGCAGTCTTACAAACAAAGGATGCACAAAAGAATAGTATATAAAATATCTAAAATAAATTGTTTAGTATAGCTGAAGCACTTATAAAAAGAACACATATAAGCCCGTTGCTATCAACATATAATTGGATCATTTGTTCCTAGAACTCTATTGATCGTCACTTAGTACAAATAAATTGATTTTACAAAATCATATTCTAAGGATTCTCACCATAACATCTCAATTAGCTACAATATCAATCAAGGTCCATGAATTATGAAAATAAACTAAAAAATCATCCTATAAAAAACATTAACTTAAACTCAAGAATGACTAAAAATAGAGAAATGCTAGAAAAAAAGAGAGAGAAATAGAAAAATGCTAGAAAAACTCAAGAATGAATAAATTCCCATCATTTTATCTTAATTACCAACA